CAATTGGTGTGGTATAGAAGGTTTCCCACGACCGTAATGCTTTCCCCGCCCTGCAAAACGACCGTTTCCCCATTTCATGAATATCTTCTAAATTGGCCCGAAAGCGAAAAATGTTTATTCAAACCCTGCAATTCACCGTAACTTCACAATAATGCCTTATGACAGCGAGCAAGCAACATATTTATAAGCAGAATGGTTGTAAACGTTCCAGGTAAGGTTTTGAGCAAATCTGGAACTTGACCTATCTACTGTACACCCACCGTAACCTAAGAAAACGGCGCTATCCTGCGAAATCAACACGATATTCACGTCCAACGCGCCAAATGACCACCCTAGAAAAGTTGGAGCAAATCTATGTTTTCGATCCCAACGTATAACCACAATAACTCTATGAAAAGGCCCAATATGGGAGAGTATGAATTTTGTAACCAGCATGTCAAATAAATCCTCTGGATCGAATTCCAACAAATACATTATTTTGACTTCCTACCGTAACCTATCGTAACCGCATGGGAGACGTTTTGCGGAGAAAGTGTGATATCTGTAACCAGCATGTAAGGTAACCCTTGTACACGAAGTTTGAGCAAGTTCTACGACAAATAATTTTGAGGCTCGGGTAGCCGAATAGCGCCAAACTAATATTGCACTCGTAACCAGCATGCTCGATCCCCCTGTGCCAACTCCCAGCCCCGTAGCTCAAATTTACAAAAAAATAGATAAAAGCGGTAAAATTGATATTGATCGATGACGAAAAGTAGCCTATGACACCCGCCCCGCCCCGAAGGTGTATGTGTGCAAGATTCGGTCCGAATCTGTTCAGAAATGGAATTTTCTATTCGGAACATACAGACATACAGAAAACAGACACTGCCTTGTATCTTATATATAAAGCTGAATGTCTGTTTGTATGTCTGTCTGTCTGTCTGTATGTGTGTACGTATGTTCCGAATAGAAAATTCCATTTCTGAACCGATCCGGACCAAACTTGGCACACATACGCTACGGGCCCCGGCGGGTGTCATAGGCTACTTTTCGTCATCGATCGATATCGATTTTATCGATTTTTATCGATTTTTTTGCTGAGTTCACCTACGGGGCTGGGAGTTGGCACAGGGGGGTAATCGAGCATGGGGATTCCGAATACAATATTGGTTTTCAGGATTATCGATTACTTTTATCGATTTTATCGATTTTTTGCAAAGTTTGACCTGCGGGGCTGGGAGTTCGCACAGGGGGGTAATCGAGCATGGGGATTCCGAATACAATATTGGTTTTCGGGATTATCGATTACTTTTATCGATTTTATCGATTTTTTTGCAAAGTTTGAGCTAGGGGGCTGGGAGTTGGCACAGGGGGGTAATCGAGCATGCTGATCATCCCCAAGGGGGTGATCAGCATGCTCGATTACACCCCTGTGCCAAATTCCATCCCCCTAGCTCAAATTTTGCAAAATCGATAAAATCGATAGAAGTAATGGATAATTCCAAAAACTAATATTGTATTCGTAATCTGCATGCTCGATTACCCCCCTGTGCAAACTCCCAGCCCCGCAGGTCAAACTTTACAAAAAAATCGATAAAATCGATAAAAGTAATGGACGATCCTGAAAACTAATATTGTGTTCGTAATCAGCATGCTCGATTACCCCCTGTGCAAAATCCCAGCCTCGCATGTCAAAATTTACAAAAAATCGATAAAATCAATAAAAGTAACCGATAATTCTGAAAACTAATATTGTATTCGGAATCCCCATGCTCACTTCCCCCCTGTGCCAACTCCTAGCCCTGTAGGTGAACTCTGCGAAAAAATCGATAAAAATCGGTAAAACCGACATCGATCGATAACGAAAAGTGGACTGTGACACGCGCCGGGGCCCGAAGTGTATGTGTGCCAAGTTTGGTCCGGATACGGCGGAGCCGGGTAAGCCAGCTAGTATAAGATAAAGCTTAGATTGCCAAACACTCGCGTTGAGTTGTTCGAGATAACCCCGTTCCATTCTTCGTCTCTCTATTCAAATGCATTGCTTTGCTGCCCTTCAATTTTCTGTAAAGACCAGTATGTGCAAATACATCCGAATACGTCGTCCCACATACAAATAAGCATATAGGGAAAAAGGAGGTGGAGTATGAAAGAGGGGAGAGGGATTTGATGTAACATAGCGTTGCAACATTCCGTCTTTTTTCACTTTTCATTTGCAACGTCAATTGATAACATAAGATCAATACAATCAGCGATATATCGCAGAAATAGGAAGATTGCCTCGACACGACTGCTTCTAAGCTCTCACCGTTGCTCCTGAAGGTCTTTCCACTGGCTCGTAAAGGTCATTTCATGGCGTTTCCGTATACTGCCGTAAACTAACACCCCATGCAATTTTGCGAGCATGACCCTTCTGAATTACCTCTGGATTAAAACGCTGAACTCTGCACATTCTGCATATGTATCACGTTCGCGATAAAAGTCAGGATTTACAAACCTTGCATCTTTTCTCAAGGCTCTAACAAGGAATGGTTCTTGGCCAGAGTGGCCTTTTCTGAGCTGTATATTACTTTGTAGAGAATCAGACGCTAATTGTTTTGTTCTTACAAAGGAAGGATACTAACTTCTGCTACTAACTTAGATTCGACTTTTGAGATGAAACACATATATTTGGAATCAACTTGGAAAGCTGGTTCCAAATATGCTGTTCCTAGCTGCTCAGCATTATTCTGAAGCGAGTTATGGTCTCTTCTCTATGCAAAGTTTGCGTGCTTCTCGACCTGCTGATGCTACGGTGGCGACGTCTAGTGTTTTTGCAATTGTATAATGCTCCTTTCAAAGATCGGAAGCATTAATCTAATTCTAGTTTAACATCCTAGCACTTTTTTTGAGCAGATTCTTATCTACACGCTGTCCTACAACGTTCAGAAGTTTGTTACTTACTCAAAAATGCAAGCCCATAACTCGCTTCGGATTGACGCTAGGCAGCTAGGATTAGCATGATTGTAATGTATGTGTCACATTTTGAAAGGCGAATCTAAATTAGTATCATTCCCTTGTTAGTATCTGCTGCACGCCCTTAAACGTTTGATTGCGCGTGTATTTTGGATCGAAAAATGAACGCATAAATTGGATAAATTTGGTTGTTACGGTCCTTTCATCGCTTAAGTAAAGCAATGGCGAGTGTATTAGCTAGAAAGCACTCATGCATAAATTAGACTTGAACCCAATACTCGCACGTCTTAGCGGTTCAAATTTTTTTGCTTTAGTGACGTTCGTTTTTTTTTGGACAAAAAAAGTTCATAACTCGGCATTCAAAGGCGCGCAGTAGATAACGAAAACAGCTTCGAATAAGAGCTCAGTGCTCTTCAGAACTGTACAGATTTTATATGGAAGGCCAATTCGACTGAAAGTGCTTTATTTATAATGCAAAAGATAGCATGGCAGATTGATCATTTCAAGCTAAATGTTGCACTGCATCATTCTTACAGTTGAAGGTGCATTCTGTAACTGGCAAAACTTATCATTGGAAACATATTTGAAAATCTGGTGCATAGAAGCATGTTGATAAGTTCGGTCGGCATAGGCGAATATCTATACTCAACTCAGACATTCGCTGTTGACTCGGGCCCAAGACTCGCCCTTCAGTGACCTTGCTCTCCCTTAGTGTTAGCTCTCATTCCATTTTCTTTCACACCCTTCTATTATTAACATTCACATCATTCATCACTCCGTTAATCACTCTATCATTTGTCGGTAGCTTCTTGAATTCAAATCTACATTCAGTTTTACTTCAACTTTTGCAGCGAAATTTAGGCATCTGATTGTTGGGGTCGCCGCTGTTGTTTTGCATCAGTATCCAACCACAGAGAGTGGGGCTTTGAGGATCTGCGAGATAGCTTGCTTGTTGCTTCAGCTGTTTTTTATCAGTATTTCGGCCATCACAATACGTTCACCTATACAGACGCCGTTTTTAGAGTAAGAGTTGTGTCCATACTTTGCTTTTGCGATATTATTACAGTGTATTTCATCCTTTTTTCAAAGGATTTCAAAGGATGCTTCAAAAGCTTATCGTCGAGTCATTCGTAACTTAATCTGAGTGATGCACACTTTACGCGTTAAGTGACGAACGACAAAACTAGTACCTGCTCATTTTCAGTAATTTCTTCTTGTTTCCTAGTCTCTTTTATATTTGTCAGTTATATGTTATTCAGTAGAACACATTTCTACACTTTGTTAGGCTAGAAAATGATTCACGGGATAGTTACTAGTATGGGTGCCGTCGTTTATGGCTTAGTGTGCATTCTCACATATTAAGTTACAAATGACTCGAGGTTAGGTTCCTGATATGTTGAACATGGAGTGATCTTGGCTTGATAAACCCGCTTGGCCTTCTGGTGCTTGCGGATTTGATACTGTGGTTGCTCTTGAAGGCAGCGTCCGGGGAAGATTTCGGATGGAATTTTCTTCGCTTACCTGGGCTTATCCTTCCCGCTGCCTCCAAAAATGCAGCTCGGAGAGCACAAAAACGTCGAAAACGGGTTTTTCCAGAGGCTCTTAATTTGAATTTTGTCATCTGCCGCCAAGATTAAGACGCGGAGTCTTTGTGGGCCCTTACGTCTTGACTGTGTGCGGTATGCGCACTCTGGCTTATCGAACTGATTCGTTCCCGGTTGTCGGGGCGTTCTGATTGCCCCTTCTGAAGCGATATTCTCGCTTCAGAAGCAAATTGGTGCATTGCCAGTTGAGCCTTACCAGGCCGGGCGCCCCTGTACTTTTTCGTTTTTGCCCGGACGCTGCCTTTAAGTTGTGCCTTCGTGCTTCGAGGATTTTTTATCTGCATCGATACCATAAACAAGTTTTCTTTCTTACAAAGACAGGCTCCATTGCTTTCACGGTTCTCGCACCAGTTCCGTTTTCACAGTTGCCGTTAAAATGGAACTTGCTTTTTGAAGATACTTGTGTATTGTAGCACTCAGAAACTTCAAAAATAACTGTCGTAGTATTCATCCCACTATTTCATCGTTTGCAGGTAAATACGCCCTCTGTGGAATTGGCGCTAATCTTCACCGCTTCCAATCTCTGACGTCTACTAATTGATGGATATTTCTTTGCTGCGGCTGATTCAGCGGGTAACAAGATTCTGGCAAAAACCAAATGATTCAGCAAGGTAAGATTTCCGCGGCACTGAGCTTATGTAAATACTAATGTGATGTTGCGTCAAGGCGTTGCTTTGGAATAATTCATGGTTTTTCAACTTTAGCTGTAACAACACACCTGATTCCGTTTTCATTGAGTGGAAATTTGCTGATAGACAGGTTGGTTTCAGTGCATACACTTTACTGCTTTTTTCATAGCATAATTTAGGGATGAGAATATTATCGAGGCTCGAACGTCTGCAAAGTCACCCCCAGAATCGTAATACACGGGACAACGCTAAAATGTGTTTGCAAATTACTCCCGTTTTTAAAAGTTTATAATAAATGTATCTATGTTGCTTATAACCTTGTACACTTCTCTATTCAATAAATAAATAGGCGAAATAGGCATAAACGTGTGAAATAACGCGCTCCAGCTGCGTCCGAACATTAGGATGTGAGCGCCCGAGCTACTAAATATGTCCTGCCAGGTGCTTGTCGCGCTAAAGCGTTGTCTCGGGCAGCATTGTCCCGACATGTGATGCTGTCTCCGGATTTTGTCGCGAAGCTGATTACTGTGTCGCGCTGTCATTTCGCCTTACACCAAACTTTGAGCTGCTCGAGTCAACAGCAAATATCTGAGAAAGAATGGGAGAATTTGATGCATTGAGGTATATGCGAAAATGCTGAAAGAAGCCTTGCATATTTCTGCTGTTGTTCTCATTGTCAGCTTCAGCAGACTAAAAGGCCCGTATGCACTAACATTTTTGCGGCGAGGGGAGCGGCGTCCCCCGTTATGAAGGGACCGCGTGCGGACGCCGCTGCGGCTTTTTCATCATTGGGGACGCCGCTCCCCTCGCCGCAGGGATGTTAGTGCATGCGGCCCTAAAAGATGTGTTCCTATCCGCGAGTTACTTCTTTCTCAATATGTGAGTCCGCGCGTCATGCGCGGCGACTCAATAAGCCCCTTTTCTAACACACAACTGTAGATATTTAATGACTAAAACTTCACGCCGTTAACAGATCATGAGAAAATCGTGATTTACTAAGCCGGCAAAAGCAATCGCTTTCAGAATAGCCCGTCTGCCACCCTCGTGCCGGGCTATGTATTCAACTGTACACTTTCCGTATTTTTTCCAGGCTAGAAATAAGGAAAAATTGTATGTAGTAAAATGGTAAACTTCGCCCCAAAACGTTCTGAGCTCTTCCTACGCACGTGATCATATCGTATTATCATATTAGAATGTCCCATAATAATTTACCGTTTTTACCCTAAACATCAGCACTTTCGAAAACTAGGGCACCTACAAAGCGCACATATACATGTTCGATATGATCACGTGCGTGGGAAGAGCTCAGAACGTTTTGGGGCGAAGTTTACCATTTTACTACATACAATTTTTTCCTTATTTCTAGCCTGGAAAAAATACGGAAAGTGTACAGTTGAATGCTCGATGTGTCAAGCATATGCTAGGATAAATAGGGAATTCTTAAGATTTTTTGGGGCAGAGATACGATTTTGTTCTGAAAAGTTCGTTTTTGACTGCTATCAGATCTGAACTCAGAACTTCATGTGAAATACGATTCGGGACTTTTGGTAGCCATCTTATAGAGCTTGCTTTGTCCTGTCGAGTGATTACTCAGGAAACATTAATTGAAAATAAGATACAAAATGGCGACGGTTACACTAAAAACGGTATTCAATTATGGGACAACTCAATAGTTCTTCAAATAGATTCAATAATGTTTACCTTTTCAGCCCAATGGCAGTCCCTCAGACAGCGGCTACGGTATAAGCAAATCCCAAGACACCGAGCTTCCAAAAACATATCAAAGGAAAAGAAAAGAGGAAAAAAATGAAAGTTTATTCTTTCAGGATGAATGTTCGGATTATCTTGCGAAGGTCTCAAAGTGGCATCAACCGTTACCCTTTTTTACCGTCAGCTTCATATCCAGCTTCAGTAAACGAATACAGTGCTGGCCAAAATTATAGGTCCACTCTAAAAAATGCCATAACTCACTCTGTTATGAATGAAATTTTCCAAAATTTGGTAGAGACGTGTGTTTACCAGCCTACTATCAGTCTTTAAGACGGTTCTCGTTTTCGTTTGATTATTCAAGAAAAAATTAGAAATTCTGAAAAAAAGCAGGCTTGAAGGCTGGCCAAAATTATAGGTCCACCTGGAGTTTTTACTGATTAAAGCACTTTTAGCTCCCGAATTTTTTTAGGTAGACACATCCAAAAACGTTAAACAGCTGCATTGGTCAAACTGTGTCATACCTCCAAAAAAGAAGTGATTGTCTGCTTTTTTGCCTTGAAGATGCACTCACATGTATTTCGCTCCACATACCTGCGTTGAGTAGCAAATTCTGCAGTTTCTCAGATGGATCGGAAGGGACGGGATTTCATCTATCTTCTGGATGCTTTTTGACGTGAGCATTGAGGAAAAAATCGCCTTTTTGCTGCTGAAGCAAATCTGATATTGACAGTACTGCAATCCTGAGCTCAAGTTCTGTCTTCAAACTTCTTTTACAATGTTCTCAGAAGCAATGAGTAAAGTAAAGGCATTTTTTCTATGAAGGGGAGTCCGTATACCATAGTTACAACTTTCTAAAGATCCTAGCATTCGAGTATAATTACTGAAATCACTCTGCAGAAACTGATTACGACAAGCACCAAGCTACTTGTGGCTCCGACCAAAATTTTCAGAAGAATCATGTGCTAACATACAATACAAGCTGTATCCACTATCTAGTAAATAATTACTGTCAAAAATCTAAGTGAGGTAGCACTTGGAAAGCTAATTTGGATCGCGTAACACCATTATTACGTTGCACACACAACTAAGAAGCAGGCAGATTTGTGGACACTTGCGAGTATGACGAACAGCTGTTCTTGGGTAAAGAATGCTTCTACAATATCTTGAGGTTATAATGACAATGCATAAAGGGGGAGGCGTGCAAGTGTTACCCAGGCAGCCGCCTGGTGCCGCAGCCAGCCGCCAGAGCTGGCACAAGCGTCGCGGCTGAGCTACCGTAAGCGCTCTCTCGTCGTCCGCATTCTCTCGCAGAGAGATTTTGCAGCAGCCTCGCACCTCTCGCGCTGAGGTGCGAGAATCCCCTCAGAGGTCGAGCTACTGCCACATATTATATATCGATCAACACAGCGGAAAATTTGTAGTTTAATAGTAATATACATTACAAAAAATATACAAAAACAAAAAAAGTTAAATAAATGAATTGATGGACAAAATATTATGCTTTCAAAATTAAATTGAAAGCATAATATCGTGGAGTAAGTTGGCCTTTTTCTATCCCGGCTTGAATCGTGATCGGATTTAACTTGTGGACGCCGTCTCCGATCGCGCTTTTAGTCCGATTTGACTGTCTTAATTTTCCAAAAGTTTAGGAGAATTTCAAAATCAATTTTGTGGGCAATTACCTCAATAACTACATCGGAATAGTAGATATGAATATTTGGCAATTGAATTTGTAAGAAATCCTCCCCATCCGGTAAAATTCTTAATTCTTCGGTGATGCTGTTCATTTCTACCCTATTTACTTGCGAGGATGCAGCTCTAAAAAATCCACAAAAAATCCAAAAATCCAACATTTCACAATTAATCTCGAAATGAGAAAAGAAACAAGGAATTACCTAGTAAACGAACACCTTCTCTTGCATAGCCCGTTCTCACAATATTTGCTAGAACTTTTTTCTAGCCTTCAGTGCTAAAGTCATTTTCTTTCTACTGAACCTAGTTGTAATCTAGTCAGGGAACCTACATTTCCATAAAGTTTTCAGAATCGAGAAGGCGGTTTCGTTGAAAAGGACACCGGGGCTTATTCTTTGTTTCTGCGGTCCCCTTTTCTTCTTCTGGCAGCTCTAAACTCGCAACATTTTTCGGACTAAAAGTTATACCTCCATATGTGGCACACTTTTTCTAATATCTATCCTAGTTGGTGTTAGAAGTCTTCTGCCCCAAAGGTCACAACGAACTATGCCAAAAAACATTCAACAATCTATTTTAAATTCTTTATGAACTTACTCCACGATATTATGGTTTCAATTTAATTTTGTAATCATTCCATCAATTTATTTATTTAACTTTTTTGTTTTTGTATATTTTTGTAATGTATATTACTAATAAACTACAAATTTTTCGCTGTGTTGATCGATATATAATATGTGGTAGTAGCTCGACCTCTGAGGGAATTCTCGCACCTCAGCGCGAGAGGTGCGAGGCTGCTGCGAAAATCTCTCTGCGAGAGATTGCGGACGACGAGAGCGCACTTACGGTAGCTCAGCCGCGACGCTGGTGCCAACTCTGGCGGCTGGCTGCGACCCCAGGCGGCTGCCTGGGTAACACTTGCTACGCACCCCATAAAGGGTTTTAGGGCAGAAAGCGAGGCTTACTCTGCCGATTAAGCCGATGTCAAATTTGCTTCAGCAACAAAAAGGCGATTTTTTCCTCAATGCTCACGTTAAAAAACATCCAGAAGATAGATGAAACCCCGTCCCTTTCGATCCAGCTGAGAAACTGCAGAATTTTTTACTCAAGGCAGGTTTGTGGAGCGAAATACATGTGAGTGCATCTTCAAGGCAAAAAAGCAAATAATCAGTTCTTTTTGGAGGTATGACACAGCTTGACCAATGCAGCTGTTTAACGTTTTTGGATGTGTGCCTACCTAAAAAAATTCGGGAGTTAAGAAGTGCTTTAATCAGTAAAAACTCCAGGTGGACCTATAATTTTGGCCAGCCTTCAAGCCTGCTTTTTTCAGAATTTCTAATTTTTTCTTGAATAATCAAACGAAAACGAGAACCGTCTTAAAGACTGATAGTAGGCTGGTAAACACACGTCTCTACCAAATTTTGGAAAATTTCATTCACAAAAGAGTGAGTTATGGCAATTTTTAGAGTGGACCTATAATTTTGGCCAGCACTGTATAAACATTTGTTGCATAAAACCTGAATTACAGCGAATTGCCTCAAGTGCGGCCAACTCGCCGTTTCTTCTAAACAACTTGTTTCAGTCCACTTAAGGCTGAACCCCACCTTTTTATATTCCTTGCATTTCCTACTGTACATAACAAATATAGTACATATAACAAAAATTGATAGAAAAGATTTGAAACTTTTTTGAACACTCAAAAGTCGATAACGTCAAGAACTATAATTTAAGCTATCTTGCGCCTCGACAAAAAAGCTTTTGACGTTCTTACAAATTTGGTAGGTTTCAATTCTGAGCTAGATTTAAACTAAACATATTAAAATAACTTTTTTTTGTAAGAAGGTCCCCTCTCCGCCAGAGATCGCAATCAA